GTGACTACATCATAAAATCGATCATCAGATGAGTTTTTGATTTCAAACCACAAGCTTCACGTTTGATCTTCATTCCCGAGCCATAGACACTTCGGATCAAATTTCACATGCTTGAGCAGGAATTTGTGGGCCAATGAATTCACATGATGCCCAAGTGTACAAAGGTTCCTCATTCATATTCATCTCACACAAAAATATGGATGTCACTTCAATCTCGCTGTTTCAACTTCAGTTTGTATAACGGTTAACCATGCACCTTCAAGAAATGTTTATTTGTCTTTTGGTTGANAGATGCACGAACGCCACTGATTACGATACTCAGCCATATCACTCGGTGTCTCTAGTCATTGATTACGCTGATCCCGAGATCCCAATGCAAGGAGCTTTACAGGACCTACGTCACCCAGACTCCTGGTTAGGGGATTCCGGGTCATCTCTTATGACAAACTTGAAAAGGAATGGGAATACAGGGCAGACTTGTTGAAATCCATTAGAGACGGCGAAAGCTTGTCATAGGCCCTAGCTCAAAATGGGGTGTGACGATGAGGACCGACATACTTCCGTGGTATTCAATAAAATTCTATAGTGTGTTCCTGTCCATAGAGAAGTAGGAGAACAAGAAAAATTGCGTTTCTGTTTCACTGTACACTGTGACGGTATTTCGGTCCTTTAATGAGGCACAGAAATTCAATAGGAAGACCGTATACCATCAATGACCTCTATTTGGAGTTAGATCTCTCAGTGTCGATAGTCAGCGACAATGTCCATAATTGGGACCGCAATCTTGAAGACGGAGCCGATGATGAAGTTAACTTATTTATATCTCTACTGCAAGTCGGGGTTCGAGTGCCGTGACACTTCATCAAACAGCACAGAACGTTCAAAGACTGCATCGGGAGAATGAATATGGTCAACCATACACAAAACCTGACTGAGTCATAGGAGGCAGTGTACAGCGATCAACAGCTCCAAACGGATGATGGCAAACCTCTTCATTGCTCGGAATGTGACCCCACTAGACAAGGGTAATGCCTGGAATACATGGATGATAGAATACCAAAAGTTTAATAGCAATTTAAGTGTGTGTAAAACGCAAACCAAAATGCTACGAGCGGAAACGATGTACCACTAAACAAACAAATTGCTACTTCATTTATATATACATAAATTCATACTAGCTTCGAAAATTTTTCCAAAACGGAAATGATCACGAATCCGTTGCACACAGGAACAGAAACTGCTTTCACGGGCAAATAAAAATGTATGAAAGACAAAACAATCCAAAGGTATTTGGGTAGTATATACCGAAGGTATCATAAGATTCAGTTGTATTCAAAAGGATGAGATAGAATAACCCCGACAAACGAATGTGGTGTAAAGACTATGTGCTCATTTATTCACAAGCACAAATTTGTGCATGAACACACGCATGCAGTAGCACAGGGCCACTTTAACCAAATCTATTAACGGCGGGAATGCGAATCGATTGCAACACGACACATACGTGCGCGTGCACAAGCGCACGATGGTGACAACTGCATGCGAAATCACGCACACACACACGCACACAAACGTATATGTGCACACAAATGACGCCGCTGTACGACAGCAAGGAGCCTCACCATACTGAATTATCGACCAGTTCTGTGCATCAACTAGTGAATACTGAAGGTTTTGAAATGGTGGATTGAGTCACGCGATCTCGATTTACGGTCAATGAACACCACAGCCGTTGTTGTGCGTGACTGACGATATAAATCAGTATACTGCACATCCCCTCACCCCTCAGCATGCGCCACATATGTCACAAACAAACATACAAACGAACACGATGAAGAATAAGGCGAACGAATGAACCGAGCAATCCAAGTGTTAATTTGCTCTGCGCAGATAGACAATAAATGTGTATACGGGTCAAATGATTAAACCATATGGGTGTGACAACCAACACCATAAGAAAATGTTCAAGTTAGGTTGAGGACAAACCTTAAGTGATACAACTTTCCTTGAACACGATGACTAGCAGTCAAATTGTATAAACTATGGACAAGCGTGGTCAAAACCTGCAGGCCGACAACTGAAAGCACATACGCTCAAAGAGCAGTTTTCACAATATGACCAAAGATAGTCCTGGAGCACGGACAATACTGAACGCAAGGATGGACAGGAAAACATCTATTAGAGACATTTCGAAGGGATTAAATATCAGCTATCGATTTTCCACGCAAACAGCAAGTGGCAGCATTCAAAACCAAACGTTACTCTATTCAAAAACAGAGATCCGATTCGGACTGAAACTCAAACGGTCACTCACCAGAACGGCTAACGAGGAAATAGGACATTTGGAAGAGTCAACAGTTAGCGGCGATTCGATCGCGTCGGATCGAATACGAACAAAAACAAGTTCCTCGCGAACGGTTAGGGGCAACGGCTCAAGAGAAAAATCAATAGGTAACGAAGAAACGTCACATGAACTGCGCTGGCCGGTGTACCACATGATGTGAATGCCTAACCGCTGGACGATGAAGGCATTATTTCAACAATTTACAATCCGGTACATAACACAAAAAAGACAATCCAATCAACCCAAGGCACGCCCAAAGGGCGTTCACAATCAATATGCTTGATCGCATTGGAACTAAATTACAGTAAGCATGCTTATACAATATTCTATTCAAGGCAATAACCTTGAGGCAGCATTGTAGAGAAACGACGAGAAGTGCATCGTGCTTTAATGTCTCATTCCCATTTCGCAGAGTATATACCTACGAATCAACTTCGGGCATGATCAATAACTTCTGTCAGGAAAGAAAACGTCCCCCAAAACTTAACGAAAATATTGTCCGTTATTCAGTTGTCTTAGGTGAAGTCATCCCGGTATTGGCAAGTATTCTAATGAACACAATCACAGGTACGTGCTTCAGGTTATCGGCTGTCATGGTAACAGAGAACAACACTTCTTGTTTACAGATATAAACTAAGGCACATTTGAATGAGGAAACCAGAATCACGAACGAGTTACAAGATGGATGGTACTAGTAAACACTGGAAACTGCAGAGATAATTTGGTTGGTGTATGAATGGAAGATCACTTAACCTAAATTCTTGCAATGAGTAGTTACTGATTATTTTAGTTGGAAAATCACCGAGTAATTGATTAACCTGATTGACTGTTATCGATAATGCAATGATTGAACGAAGTGAAACGCGACTTAACTACATGTGTTTGCGTATAAGATGGCAGAAAGGGAGAAACACTTCTGATTGGAAGCGACAGCTTTTTAGTACAATGATACACATTACCTTGATCTTCTAGGTTGGCAACAATACGTTAAGTTTCTCTTCGTTCGCACAGAACACAGCGAAAAGTGAACCTGGCCGAGCTTGTTAGGAAGCTATTAACCCACTTTTCAGTTGAGTCGATTGCCGACATGACAAAGTGGTTACGATGAGAGAGAATCCACTAAGCCATGATTTGAAAACACCATTTAGGCAGAAATGTATCAGCAATAGTGGGATAGGATATATATGCATATATATATGGCAATTCACATGACTTGCACGCGCAGGACGACAACAACAATAACAACAGTGTCACCGTCGAGCGAGTGCAAGACAGCGTGCGCATGTGCGCATAACAAATTGGTGATGAGAGAGAAAAGAAAGGCAAACAGACAGGCAAAGAGAGGGGCGAGGAGGATTGTGTGCTCGTACGTTTGGTCGATGGGTACAGATCGATCAGTTGTCGGTCGATCGACCGATGGATTGCTATTCAGTTCGCCTCGGATGCAATTGGCATGTGCGCAGACGAGGATGAACAAAGCGATTTATGCGGAAGCCGGAAACAACTGAGCAGCAGCAGCAACATCGGCGGTGGGAACGACGGAGACAAAGTGACCGAAACGTGCGGGGCACACGAAAGGTACAGGAAAAGTGTGGGAAACCGAGGAACAGAAATTTTCACAGAATTATCGTGTAAACCAATGACGAAGGTGTGCTGAGGCTTCAATCTAAGGCAGTCCCATTGCTGGAAGCGCCTCCATCAAAGATACGGGACGGGTAGCGATGCCGTGGCGAGGACAATTACAGCTAACGAGAAGACGAAAGCATAATGATAATGCACCAATGGCAGAAAGAAATGAAAATCAACTGAACGAACAGAGACTGAAAATTAAACGTACAGTGGAGCAGACGAACTGAAGGGCGAGAACAGAAGCAAATGACTGCAATGAATGCGCGGCAGTTGGGGACTTTGGTGGTAGTGAAGGTGATAACACAAGTAATGTACAATAATTACAACAGTCACAGATGGAGATAAGAATCAGTAGTTCCCGTGGGAAAAGGAAATGAGTCTTGTGGGAAGAGGTGAGCGAACACATTGGAATCATCGTTCAGAATTGATGGTGTGCAAAGAACATAGCGAGGTGAACCCGAGTTCACGGGGAAACCAGCAGAAGCACAAGATTAACTATTTTAAAAGCCACAAGACAGTAACCGTTGGAGAACACAGACTGAACTCAACGGCCTAACTCTGATACCTAAAACTGGGTACTGTCTCAGCTTGCGACGGAAAAACAAACGTGGCTGCCTGGCTACACGGGAAAGCTTAGAGAGCCAGAGATAGGTGACAATTGGGGATGGGGCTAGAATGAGACCGAAAGCAACAGTTAAGCCTCCGTGGTCTTAGAACACTATACATGCGCCTTGAAAAGCTTATATGATGACAGATGAAGACAAATCGTGAGATACCGGAGATGCAGTCAAAGTGTTGAAATTGAGGACCAACGGAACTGGGTTGAATTCAAGCGATATATAGGTGCTTTTTTACACAGCGGCAGAAATAGGACTGAATACAAATAAAGAAGCGGGTGGGTGTGTGTACAAGTGTATGCATTCGGATGCGACTAAAGGACAGTGAGACTAAACTGCGAACCGGAGCTGAGATGCGAACGCCCATCCACGGAGCTAGTTCCTGGGAGGGAGTGGGTAACCTGTCACCGTCAAACGTGATTACTGTTCACTTGTCCAATAGGTCGTATGAACACATACACATTAATGGTTGTTGTCGTTGGAACTGAACAGGCACAACAAGAATAGGAGATCCGGAGATAGCGGGAGGAATAAATGTACAGGTAATCGGATGAACTAAGTAACTTATGAATGTCTCTAAGGGAAAAGTACAACCTCTCCAGATTGTTTTATACAATAAGTCACAACACGAGGGCCGGCCACTTGGTGACTGTAGTTACAGACGGTCAACAGATCGTCATCGTTACTGTGTAATGAAGGCCGCTTACAGGACGAATGAAGGACCGATTTGGATAGTACGGCAACATGTGCGTGTGTGGCATCCTCCGTTTCAACCGAACCTATAGACACATTGTCAAGAGAGATAGAGCGGAAGCCTACAAAGACCCGATAAGACCAATGATGCTAGAGTAACATATAAGAGCGGATAAGGGTGTGCGTGCTTGTCTGGGGGAATGTGTGATGGACTCACACAGACACACGCCCAGAAAGACATACAGGGAAACCAAGATTAAGACAGTGAGCCAGGAGGAGTGAACGAACAAGATAACTGCCATGTCGAGGCCATGACAGACAAAAAATAAACAAAGATGACGATGCGTCTAGAGCACGAACTACGAACGTGCAACTACTTGCTTCTCAGCTGGTCTGTGGCCATTACCAGCATCTGATCCATCAGCAGCCGGAGTTGTTTTCGACGAAACTGATGTGTTTGCAGTCCTGGTTGTTCCATGATTTTGGTTGCTATTAGTATTGTTACCTGTGGCTGAAGAGGCAGTCGCGAGAGGTGTGGTGGTGGTAGTCGTTGAAGTGGCGCTAGTTGTGGTTGTTGTATTGGGATTTACAGAATTATCTGTACCGTTTCCGAATTTATTTGCATTCTTGGTCGAATTTGTGTTACCTAGTCCGGTGAAACTGGGGCCGTTGCCCACTGCACCACCAATATTATTGTATTTGTCCAATTTGGCGATAATGTGTTTTCCGTAGTTGAATTTGCGCAACGTATTCTGCATTGGTCTTATACGGCTTATCAGAGCATGGCGCTGTTCCACCTCAGCCAGTTCGAGCATACGTTGAACTACATAATTGGCATACTGATCTTTCACCATATCGACAAGTGGACAGGAACCACTAGCAGCAATGTTGCCCCCGGATGCGCCACCGCTGTTTGTGGCACCAACCACTGTGGTCGAATCCGGTGTCAAACTAATACTTGAGCCGGGGTGAAGAATTTCGTTGATAAGTGAAGCTCGTTCCTCTCGTCCAGCATTGGCGATGGCCTTTTCCATCACATTTGAAGCAAACTTGTGTGCGCTCAGTTGGGCTACGCGACCGAGCAAGCTACGAATAATACGTGATTTGTCGTCCGGTAGACCATGTTCTAGCACGTGCTGAAGGGTGAACGAAAATGAGGATAGCGTAAGTGAACGGCATGAAAGATTAAAATGGATCGAATGCAAATGAACTGTCCGACAGATTTTATTCATGTGAGTAAAGGAGAATTTGATTCAACTTCATAGGTGAATTCATCGTGTATGGAATGAAGCATGAACTGAGAAGCTAGGAAGCACTGGACAGCTGTTTCGACCTGGGTGGGTCTTGTAAGCAGCGCGAATCTATCGATCCAACTAGGGATCGAACCCGAGACTTCACAGGCAGAACG